AAAATATCATTACTAATTTGAACTTGATGTTTGATGATCAGATTAGTTTTGTGTTTCCAGGATCTCTAATAATTAAAAGGAAGCCTTTCCCCAAACAGAACATAAGCTAAGGGATAAAGTAAGGAAATAGCCCATCACCCATTGCTGCAAAGTACAATTTGATGATTTATATAGTAGATTTTATGGCTGGAATTCCATCTCTTTTATTTTTCTCTCCTTTCTAAAGCGAGATCTACCAGGTTAAGAGCTGAGGGGAAAATCTAAAGGGAGCTTCGGTCCTTAGGATAACAAGGCAGAGACTTGATGAAACCTCTACTTAAGGATTGTATTTCCCCTGACCCAACGAAGAGCCTCACTTATCAGCCAGAGACACTCATTTGGCACTACACCCCCATTCTCCCTCTCTCTCAGCACCCCCTTCACAAAAAGAGCCCCACAGCCTGTCGTCCTAGACAGGAAAACCTCCCAGCACTGAGAGGGGAACCCTGTACAGAACCTATAGAAGGGAAACTAGAAATCTCATTTAAAGCCCACTTAAAGCTGCCTTTTTGATTTCTGAACTCAGAATTTTATCTTCTGCTTGAGATACTGTATCTTGGCACCATGATTTAACTAAGAGGAAAAGCAAAAAAAAAGATCCTTCTGAACAAGCGTGAGGATCATTTATAAACGGCAGAATTAGCCAATCAGATCTGACGTTGTTAGTTGTCATCAAGTCAATTCCGACTCACGGTGACCCGTGTGCAGAGCAGAACTGTACTCCACCGGGCTTTCAAAGGCCGTGATCTTTCAGAAGCAAATTGCCAGGTCTTTTCTTCTGAAAATATATCTAGTCGGCTTGAAATAATAATAAATAAATACCATTTCTTGTATTTTGCTAGGTGCTGATGACTGTTCTAAGTACCGTGCAAGTATTAACTTGTCTAATGCTCACAACATCATGAAGTGGAGTTTATTCTTTTGACAGAGGAAAAAAATCAAAGGCGTAAGGATGTTGCACAAGTTTTTTAAGGTTACTAGTAAAGAGTGTGTGTTTCATGACCTCTCAAACACTCTAGAGAGCATCAAAGGGCTGTTTGAAGTAGCTATGCCACACTTGCGCCACGTTTTCTTGGTTTCTCATATTAGTAATCTGCAAGTTCTAATACGAAATTCCTGTAAAATCTTTACAATCTCTTTGTACTTAGGTCCTCCCTGAGACCCTAAATAATAGCACAGGAGATTGCTTGCTTACAAATGTGTCCTTCCATTCGGCTTTGACCACCTGAGAAGCCCTGAAAAGCCAATATTAATGTGCATTATCACTGAGTGAAAAATTTGCATCCCAAAGGGTTTCTTACTGTCGCCATTAGCCATTTCTGAGACTCTACCATTCTGCCTTTTGTGAGTTTGTTTCTTTCTCTCCACTCTCTCCCACCACCCTTAGTCTCAACTTGATTTCAATCCCTCTGTGTATATCTTCTACTTAGTCCTTATTCTTAGGCAGGATCATGTTGGAGCCCAAGAATCAATCCCATATGGACAGACGTGGAGTAAACCAATGGACTATGTGTGGTTTTCACCCTTCTCTTCCTCTTCATCAGCAAGACCTTCCCACCACATGATTCTGGATCTCCAAGATGTAGAACCTCAGTGAGCAACAACAGAGTTTGAGATGGTCAGAAAGGAGCAAAGAGGGCAGTCAAACGGTAGAATGGCTTACCCCTGCCTGCAGCTAGAAACAGATATGGATGTCTAAACCTTCCAAAAAGCCAACTGTCTTCAATTAATTTGGTTCACAAAGAGAGATATTGCAGGATAGTGGTGTAAAGGCATGGACTCCACGGTCAAGATGTGTAGGCTGGACGCCGAATGCTGCCATTTACCAAACACAACCCTGGGTAACTGACTTCACCTCTCTGTCTCCCCACGGGAGGTAGGGGGTATAAAGCCCTGGTGACAGTTATTATTACTGAGCCCTAAAGCTTTAGAGCTGGTTGACCTTTCAGAAGTCAAACCCTGACTTTTACTGATGGGGACACTGAGACAGAAAAAGGAAGTAATTAGAGGATTCACAGCAGATTTCCTACTCAAGGGGTCAGAGCATTTGCTACCCCACCGCCAGTCTTTCTAGAAGCTGTTGGTCACAGTGCCCCCTTTACTGACCCTGCTTCATGTGAAGGGCTAGCGTATATAAGTTGTTTTTCCTCTTGAGTCAATGGATTTATACCGAGCCATGACCTCATCTGTGCTCTGCTCTGAGGCTAAGGACAGAAAATGAGACAGGATTAGGGATACCAGAGGTGCTCATGGATCACAGTGACACAAATAGCCTCCAACTCAGCCTCACAAACAGGGCTGTGGGCAATGACACAATGAGCCTCACCCAGACCTGGAAGAAAACAGAAACACAGGGCTGTATTGACCACAGAATTCGTCCCTCTGCTTCCCTGACCAAAGGAGAAGAAGGAACAGTGTAGAGGATAGAAACAGGTCCTAACACAAAGTGAGAGTCCCTACACAAGTCTGCAGCCCTGACGGCACGGTGGTTAAGAGCTATGGCTGCTAACCAGAAGGTCCGCCGTTCCAATCCAGAAGCTGCTCCTTGGAAACGCTATGGGACAGTTCTACTCTGTCCTGTAGGGTTGCTCGATAAGCCCTGGTGGCACAGCAATTGACTGCTAACGGAAAGCTTGAAACCACCAGCTGCTTCGCAGGAGAAGGTTGTGGCAGTCAGCTTCCGAAGAGATTTACAGCCCTGGAAACCTGATGAGGTAACTATGAGCCCAATCCACTCCATGGCGGTAGGGTTTTGTTTTGGTTTTTTTTTTGGTACACAAGTATATCAGTTGAACTCAAATCTTATTTTAATTAGTCCAATCTGAACAACAACAAGAAAAAAAATCATTTAAAATAGTTTTAATTCTGAATTGACTGGAACAAACAGATCAGATGATACGATGCACGTGGAACTGGCCTAGCGCAGAGAGCAAATACCGACTAAACCCATTTGCGTCCAGTTGGAAAGAATAGAACTGTCTTACAGAGTTTCCAAGGAGTGGCTGCTGGATTCAAACTGCTGACCTTTTGGTTAGCAGCCGAGCTCTTAACCACTGTGCCACCAGGGCTCCACTGAGTTAAGGGACCCTGGTAAATAAATAAGGCGAGTGTGATTGACACCTCTTCATCCATCCCCACAGGTCCCCACAGAACTTCTGTCTGGACCTAGAAAGAAATATTGAATGTGGACCTGGGTCCTGGGGACCCAACACAGATACGCGTGCTCCTGTCCTACAGAGCTTACAGCCTTCTGGGGCCCGGGGGCTGGCAGGAAAATCACAGCACACACTTGTAATCTTGCTTCAAAAACCAAAACAACAAACCCGTTGCCATGGACTCGATAGCTCCAAGTTCAATCTCATCATTTATCTCTTGCGTTACCCTGTTCATTGCTAGCCCCACCCCCAAATCTCTGCGCAGACTAGATCTTAGACCATCAACATTCACCATAGGTTTCGGGAGAGAGCCAGGTGAAGGTGAGGGTCCCAGGGCTTGTTCATTTCTCTCATTGCACTCTGAACCTTTTACCATTCCCCTCCCCCCCTTGTCACAAACTGGCGGCGCTCATAGTAGTTATTAGGGGCTACTGTAACTTGTTTTCTCCTTAGGATGTTTATTTCTGCCTCTAAGGTGCCCTGGAGCCCTGGTGGTGCAGTGGTTAAATGCTTGGCTGCTGATCAAAAAGCTGGCAGTTGGAATCCCCTAGCAGCTCCTTGGAAACCCTATGGGGAATCGAGTCGAAGGCAACGGATGTGATTTTGGTAAGATGCTAGTGTTTTTACTAAAACCAGAGATATTTCTCCTCCCACCATGTCACACCACATACAAAAAGCAGTGGGAAGAACATTTTAATTATTCCCACACAACACGACTTCTGAGTAACTACAAAGAAGGAAGCTTCAGAGACCCACACGGGGAAGCTAGAGGCTCAACTAGACCAAAACAGGAGGTGCTGGGGGGTGGGGGGCGGGGGCATAGCCAGCTACTGCAGAAACCCAAGCCAGAACCCAGATCTCCTAAATCCCAGCCCAGACCTTGTTGTTCCGGGGAAAAGATTTGTTAGATAACCTCACCTTTTATGAATTCTATCTGATAATTCATTAATAAGTTCACCTTTGGGTGGAGGTCAGTGACCAGGCTCGTATGATAATGAAGATCTGCTCTAAGCCAACCTGCTTTGGGGAAAAAGCTTTGTGTGTGAAGAGGAGGGACGTATTTTCATAAGCACCATAATGGATTAAACGGCATATTTTTTGGTCAACGTGAGATGTGGTGGAAAGCAGACACCGGAGGGGATTCAAATACTGGATATGCTGCTAACGCGCTGTGTGATCTTACGAAAATCTGGTTCCCTCTCTGATATCGTTTTCCTAATCTATAAAATATAAATACTTTGTATGACTCGTGCAGAGATCTGGGATTCTAGGAGAAATCACCAAGAGAAGAAGAGAAGAGAGGAAGGGGGGGGGGTGGGGGAAGCTGAACAAAGGAGATAGAGGTGGGGGAGGGGAGGAAGCGCAGTTAGATAGAAAAGGTGTTTTTAATAAGACACGGGAAAGAAGTTATCAAATGTGCCGCTCTTGAGGTCTGTTTTTCATCTTTATGCATTTTTAGAGTTTACACGTCCAGGGTTAAGTTTCTGATAAGTGGGGATTGACTGAGTGAATGAATGAATGAAATGAATGGATGAATGAATGAAACGCTGGAGAAGCATGCCTATAGGAAAGAAAGGACAGGAAGAGGAGAGAGCGCGGGAGCCCTCCGTGTCTAGTCCGGGGAAGCGTTGTTCCCACACCGCGGGCAGGAGGACCCGCCAAGGGCCCAGGGGCCTCACCCTTCCCGCGAGCCGCCAGGACCCCGCCAGGGGGCGCTGCGCGGAGGCCGGGCCGGGCCGGGGGCGTGGCTGCTTTAAATTGCGGAGCCCGCACTTGGGCGTCTCAGTCCTGGAGTCTGAGAGCAGGAGCATCCCGACTCCAGCGCCCGCCCGGACCTCGGCTCGACCCAGACGCGGAGCCTCCCCAGCGGCGGGGCGGAAAGCAGGGATCTGCGTAATAGCTGCTCCCCGGCGCGGTCCCGCCACCGTCGGAGCCCGGGTGCACACTTGCAAACTCGCCGCCTTCTGCACCTGCCTCCTGCGCCAGCGCCGGCGCCGAGCGAGCCATGGCCAACGCGGGGCTGCAGCTGCTGGGCTTCATTCTGGCCTTCCTGGGCTGGATTGGCGCCATCGTCAGCACCGCGCTGCCCCAGTGGAAGATTTACTCCTACGCCGGCGACAACATCGTGACCGCTCAGGCCATCTACGAGGGGCTGTGGATGTCCTGCGTGTCGCAGAGCACTGGGCAGATCCAGTGCAAAGTCTTTGACTCTTTGCTCAACCTGCCCAGTAAGTGCCTTCCCCACCCCACTCACCGCGCGGCCCGAAGACCCCAAGCCCCATGGCCCCGTTCCGTCCTAGTGGCTGATTCTGCTGTGTGATTATGTGATTATCAGTGGTCAGTTGATCAGGTAGTCTGATCATGTGCCTTGTGAGGAAGTGGACAGGACCGTGGTTTGGGAGAAGGGCTGCTCAGGCCTGAACTCTAGTTCCGTTTTCCCGCTCTAAGTGCGGTTGCATCTTAAATGCCCATAAGGGTGGGGCCAGGGATCGAGAGGATGGAGGACGAACTTCGGTTTAAGCTCTTAGCTTAATTAAATTCAGTTTACATGCATTCTAACATGGTGTATAAATTGAAGAGTGGTAGGGTTGGAATTTAAAAAAAAGGGATGCCTTGAATAGTTTGGACTCTCAAGTTTGTAAAATTAAATAGATAATCCCAAAGTCTTAGATGTTTTTTTTTTTTTATGTTTACTATGACTTTTCATAGTAAAAGTCACATTCTGCTTGGAATTCCCATCTTAGTGTCTTCTCCTTCCGCTTGTGATTTATTATTTTGATCCTCCTTCTGATTTCTAAGATCCAGTAAGGCTGAGGAGGTCCCTTTGCATCCTCTCTCAAGACTTTGTTCCTTGAAGAAGCCTCCGGAGATTCCCCCAAAGGGTTGAGCTTTCAAGCTGGGCATTTTCAGAAGAGGCAGGCTGGGTTGTTATTTTAGAAAGAGACGATTGGTAGCAGGTGGAAAAGTATGACAAGAAAGAAAGGTTCTAAATACCTTCCCAATCAGAAGATGAAAGGATTGATGAAGGTGTTGAAGACAAATACGGCGAAATAGACACAAGTGATGAAAGCAGAGGTCAGCTGGGGGAGGGGAGGAAGGTCGTCAGAGGTGAGGACAGGCGTGCTTCTCCAAGTTTCTGTCCTCCATGAAGGACTTCCTATGTGATGGATGTCCTCTTCTTACCTCTGTCAAGTGGGAAAGGATGATGTAGACTGTCATATTTCTAAGGATGGGGTAGACAAGGACCATAGTATCCCCCCCCCCACCAACTTTTTTTAAATAAAATTTTTGAGTGCCGTGTCAAGAAAGTCATGGAATTCCCACTTAATTAGGTATGACTATGGCTGGAGTATCTTAAGAAATCACATCAGTCGTCAGGCACTGGATGTCTGTTGTGCTCTTTTTAACTGACTTAAACAGCTCCCTCGGTCTTTGCCCATATAAACAAGCAACACACCCTCCTGCCCCTGCCAGCCCAGCAGCCCCCTTTGGTGCTAAAGGTGATGGGAGCCGTTAAACTGGTCCAAAAAGTAAAACGACATTGTCATTGCTCAAGGTTGCGTTGGTGGCTTTGTCCACTTCTTACTGAGGAGCACGTTTTAATAGTACATGTGGTTTTGCAAAAAGCCCTATAGTTTCCAGATATATAATACATATGTTCTGAACCTGTCTAAACACCTGTGGATTTGGATCACTCCGTATGTGAGGACTGAGTGCTGTCATTTCAGCTTTTCAAAGTTTCCATACTAGGACTCCTTTATACCAAAAACTAACCTATAATTTTAGTAATTATCGCCCTTCTGTGTTATATTTACTCTCCTAACATGAACGATTGGGAACTACTCATTGAATTTCCCCATGGATGGTGTCAGAGACTGTGTACATTTTGGGTACTATGTTGAGGGATTGGCAGATGGAGAAGTTTCTAAGGGAATTCTGGAGAAGTCTCATGGTCAATTTTATTTCTTTGATCAAAACTGTTTACTTTCAACATGTTTAGATGGGTTTTCCTTTAGCTTCCTTTAATGACTCAGCAGAATCTGATTTATCTATGTTGTAAATGCTCGAACACGTCTTCCCTCCACACGATGTTTTATTTTCATTTGTTCCTAATTATACATTTATTACAGTTTTTAAAGTGACGGTAGAAGAGCTATAGTTTCCCTCCCCCTCCCCACACATATATACCTGTTTGGAGACTTCTTGCTGATGGGTTTGATTTTTTTTTTTCCCCCCATTTTCTCCAGATCAGATTCCTCTTTTTGTTTTGGTTAAGCCAGAGTTTATCCAAGGTGGGTCTGAGGCCTTTCTCTCAAAACTGATTCCCAGAAGAGGGAGCTTTGAGTCACAGGTTCTCTCCCCTAACGTGTCAGTGACTCAGGGGGGCCTTTGGATGAACCCCAGAGAACCTGTCTCCGTCCCCTCACCTGGGCAGTGGTTCTCACACCCACCTGATGTAGACACCAGGGGTGGGGCTTTATTGGCTGGTTTTGGTATAATTCTGTGACATCTAGACATGGCAAGGGCTGTCTGTAAATATATGTAGTGTTCCTTGTAAAAGGTTGCATTTCAAGAAGTGCTTTTAGGTGAAAATCTTGGCCTCAAACTTCCTGAAGTTCTGTCTAGCTCTCTTTGCCACTGGAGCCCACTTGGTGTCTTGGAGTCCAGATACAGGGACTTGTCAAGCCTTTATAACGGACAGATTACAAATCCCTCATTCCCCTGTTCTAGCGACTATCAGCTGTAAAAAGCACATAACCTTCACAAAGTATCTAAAGGGATATGGTATGCTGAAGCAGTATGGGAATAAGATACAGTGAGACTTTAGATGATTCTTGCAAAACAGTTTATGAAAAAGTAACTGAGAAACTTCTTGGGAAAACAAATATTACACTGCGTCTGTGGCTGCAGTTCTGTTCATCTGAAGTATGTGATGTTTACTGAGCGTCGATGTTCTTACCATTGAAAGTCAGAACATATGCAGTGGAAGCTGCCAGATTCAGTTGCGGCAGACTCTTCCTGATTAACACGTGCACCTTTCTTTGTTTTGATCCAGTTCTCCATTTTTTGAGAAGTTAACGCCTACTTTGTGTGCTTGGTTAATTGCTTCTTGTTGCTTGAGTTTCGTAGCCAGGGCTGTCCAAAGATTGGACTGCCCTCAGAGCCTGCATGGTGGGAGTTATTCAAGCAGGGAATGAGTAACCATTTTGTAGGAATGTTGTGTGGAAGATCCAAGCACCAGACAAATGGGAGGTTAGGCTAGATTCTCCAAGTCTCACCTAACCCTGAGATTCTGGAATTTGTTTATAAGCTCCTCTAGCCTGTTCAACTAGCTCTGCATGAATCCACATGTGTGTAGGTGTGCTTAATGAGTACTGGTTGTCAGTGAGGTTTCTCAGTACTCTCACCGTGATGTCAGGCACAATCAGGGAGGCAAAATCACTGACTTGGACAACCTGTGAATCATAAGCAAGCAGAGAGAAGGACACCCACTTACGGTGCCCCAGACTGCACTACTCCTGCTGAACTGAGGGTTCTCAAACGGCCTTTGGTTCATTCTGACTCTTGGAAGAATAGAAGTTGAAACCAAAATGGAGGGTTGAGATCAGATCTCAGTCCTTAACCTGGTTTGGCACTAACTAGCTGTGTGTATAGAGATAAGATCTATCTGGGCTGTAATCTCCCCGCTTATGAAATAGGGCAGAGTGGGAGGAATGGAGAGGTGAATCCATGGTTCATTCATCCATTCAACAAATGTGAGCCTAGCCCTATTCTTGGTCCTAGGATGCAGCACAGATGATTTCTAAGGCCACTTCCAGGACTGGAATTCTTTGTTACCAACTGCAGTGATCGTAGAAGAAGGGACAAGTGGCGAAACTTAGGTTTCTTTATTTAGAGTGATGAACAGATGAGATGGAGGCAATGCAGAGACGTAAATTTAATCATGAGACAAGTGCTCTAAGAAACAAACAAACAGGAAAAGGTAGGTAGCGAAACTGTTTCAGGATATCTTAAAAAGTGTCCCCCTATCCCAGACTACTTCAATTACTGACCGTACTTGTGTTCTGAGGTCACACCCAATGGCCACCAGTTAATGCACTAATAAAATGGGAAACGCTAACAATGAGGACTGTTGAGAAATGTTGAACTTTGGTAAAAGTGAAAGATTTAATAAGTGTAGTTATGGAGGTGTAGTTCTATGACAGTGTGTGGTAAGCTCATTTAATTGTGGGGGAGAAGAGAGCTTTCTGTCCTAGTCACCCAATAGTCAGTTCATTTATTCACCTAATATTTATTACATAACTGCTGAGGCAAAGAGTTTCTATGTGAAGATACAGATATAACTGAAATCTGTTTTGTTTATGGTATGCAGTATATAGAGTTATAATATGATCAGTGAAAAGTGTCGACAATGACAGATATTTACAAGATATTCTTCTGCTTGAGCAGAGCCCTGGTGGTGCAGTGGTTAACTGCTACGGCTGCTGGGCTGCTCACCAAAAGGTCTGCAGTTCTTCCAGCTGCTCCTTGGAAACCCAATGGAGCCGTTCTGTTCTGTCCTGTTAATTCGCTATGAGTCGAAATCGACTCGACAGCAACGGGATGGGCTTAGCTTGGGCTACTGACTTGAGCGGTAAGACTTTAAAGCTTCAGGGAAAAAAAAAAGTCCCATATACTTGTCTCTGCTTGTCTTTCTACGCTAATGTTGATTAACCTAACTGTAGTAGATCAGTAACTTCTAACTCATGTCTTGTTTTATAAGTAAAGATCTTTGTAAGTATTTTTTTAATTATACTTTTAGTTGGAAAGTGGCGAGAACTCCTCAGGGGGTCTTTAATCTCAAGATTATCAGTCTAGCTAAGTGTAATTAAAAGACTGCCTTCTCTGTTTACTGCTGAATAATGATGAAAAACAATAGTGTAACATTCGGACTGTTTGCTAGCCAGATTCTCTGTAGACAACTTTAGTTGTAGGGATAGCTGTCTGTTGGAGAGAGATCTACAATTGCAGGTCCCTAGGAGCTTCAGTGAAACGGACGTCTTTACTCCTAAATTACATCCAATCAGACCAGCTCAGCATTAATAACGCAAAGTTATACTATATCCTTCTGGTCCAAAATACTATTTTATATCGTTCAAACAACTCTCAACTCTTCCCCCCTGCTGGCCATCACTCAACTTGAGGAAAACTTCATCTCAGGAGCTCACTGGGTACATAATTTAAAAAATAGATCGAGTTAAGCGAGAAGTACAAATTTTTCCTGCCAGCATGAGTTTTTGACTTCTAGTGATCTAAACTAAATCCGGAGCCCTGATGGCGCGTGATTAAGACTACAGCTGCCAACCAAAAGGTCAGCAGTTCGAATCTATCAGCCGCTCCTTGGAAACCCTCGGGGGCAGTTCTACTCTGTCTTATAAAGTCTCTATAAGTTGGAATCCACTCAACGGCAGTGAGTTTTGTTTTGTTTTAAGATAAGCCTGGCTTTCTGTAGCAAGATTTTAGCATTCACAGAATATTTAGTGGCTTACCCAAGATACCGTGGTTTGTTGTAATGTAATTAATATTTATATATGCAAAAACTCTCTAGCAAGGAGTTTCTCAGTAGTGTATCAATGATGCAGATAAACACAGGGGAGCAAGTATCTTTACCTGTTATATTAGTACAATTTTTAAAGGATAAATGTTCTAATTCAAATTCATTGAACACAGACTCGTTGGATCCATGTGACTTGCCAGGTACCGTGCTGAGTGCTTTGCATGGAAATATGAACCCATATCTGGCCCACGCCATCGGGGAGCTCACAACTACATATTTTAAACCTCTGACTTTAAAGGCTTCTAAAAGACTTTAATTTGAAGGATTCATCTGATTCCAGCTAAAAACTGCAATTTAGATTCTATCTGCACAAAAAGCTCTTACAGCTTATAATGTAACACTTGCTTATTTTGACTTGTAATCCATCATCATGTGTGCCTGGCTAATGAGTTTTCATACTGTTAGGAATCTCAGCCTTTTTTTTCTTACATTTTTCCCCACAAATCAGTATAGTTAAGGGTTGGTTCACATGTCTCCGATGAAATGAAATGAGATTTTGCATTTGTCAATCTAGTATTGTGAAGCACAAGGGCATTTTGTAAATTAATGGTGCTCTCCCCTTGCTCTGTATGGTTTATATGATTCCCAAGTTTCTTCCCTTCTCCTTTTTTTTTTGCACTGTACAAACAATACATTGTTTTATAAAGCAATGAACCAAGGTAGGGTAATTAGCAAATATGTAACAAAATATCGGCTCCCTCCTGACTTGGAGAAACTTTGTTTGCAAGAGAAGTGGGAAGAGTAAAATGGGCGTAGCACAAATCACATGTGTTTTCTTTGAGCATTTAAGGGAAAAATACTTAAGAGATGAAGAATGTGAATATCAAATAATTCCCAGTGGGTACGGTAGAGGCCTGGAGTAGGTGATACATGCGTGCTCCTTGCCTGGTGGGTCGGTGGTTTTGGACAAGCCTGACTCATGAGACGCATGCACAGGAGACTCCTTGTGAAAAGTACCCTCGGATCCAAGTGCTCAGACCTGCTGTGCTGGTGGCTTGCTGTTTGCACTGAAGTAAAGATCATGATGATTATTAAATAAGCCAGGTTCAACTCAAGCAAGGTGGAAAACTTGGAGAGAGATGAGAAGAAAGCAACACAAGTGAATAATAAAGAGTTGAAAAAGTAGATATTTATGAGAAAACAGAATGGAGGTGGCTGAGTGGTGTAAGAGGCTGTTGAGATTTGAAGGGCTATTATAGGAAAGATACTGTGTATGTTGTTGTTGTTAGGTACCATGGAGTCGATCCCTACTCCCAGTGACCCCATGGGGCAGAGGAGAACCACCTCATAGGGTTTTTTGGCTGTAATCTTTATAGCAGCAGATTGCCATGTCTTTCACCAAGTCTTTCTCTCGTGGAGCCACTGGGTGAGTTCCAACCACCAACCTTTCAGTTAGCTGTGTGCTTCACTGTTTGCACCACCAAGGCTCCTTGGGCTCTGTATATACTGAGGCGAAAAATTATGTCACCTCTTCCTTAAGACCTTTAATGACTTCTGATTACCCTTAGAATAATAGCCAAACCCCTTACCCTAGTTTGCAAAGGCCTGCATGATGTATGCCTTCTGCTCATCTCACTAAACCCACCTCCTTTTACTTTCCACATTCCGTCATCCTCCAGAAGGATAACCAACCATCCCAGTGTGCCCAGGATTGAGGGGTTTTCTCGGATGCAGGACTTTCAGGTTTAAAGCCAGGACAATCCTATGCAAATTGGTAGGGTTGGTCACCCTATCTTCCAGGCCCAGGGGTCATCTTTGTTACTTTCAGCATCTCTCCTTCCAGCATTCTTCTGCCTATTTTCCTTCTGAGTGGAATCTTAGGACCAAATTGGAAATCTGTGTTACGTATAAGAGCTTTAGGTTTTTTTGTTTTTTTTTTTCATTTTCCATGTAAGTAATAATTGTCTTTGCAAAAGCTACTGGAAAATCAAAAATCAGGGGATTGCTTCACAATGGAGTCCTTAGTAATTACCTCTTCTTGCCACACTACGGTTTGTGATTCCAAGAAGAAGTTTTGTAATACTCTTATAAGCATCTTCAGTTCCCAGTAAACTCATGGTTTATTATCTCAGGAAGTCTTTACCACCTTGACTTCCTGAGATAAGCATGTGCTTGGTGTGTCTGTGCCCTAGCACACTTAGGAAGAGTTTTGATGGCTAATGAGTTTCAGAGCTAATGCATATTGTCAGGGGAGGGTCTCTATTTTGTTTTTTAATTAAATCAAGTAAAAATTTATCTTGGCTTACAAAATATCTCTAAATTGCTATAAAAATGTCTTTGATACTTTTTAGAAAGACGCTACTGTAATTTTGTCATACATGGTCTGGTTATGACAAGGATGGAAATATCAGAAAATTAAAATTTCATGATGCTTTAGAAATCTTTAGTTTCCATTGGTTGGGAACCTAGGTTCTCAACCCTGCAGATTCTAAGACTGAGCATCTGTTTAAATTAGAAATTGGGATATAAAACCTGTCCATCGTCTCAGCCACTTTTGAAGACCATCCAGGAGTCAATTGTTCCAAGTCCCTGGTTCAAGATAGCATCACTCTCATTTTCAATTTTTGCATAACAGAACCTTGATCTCAGAGACTATTTAGTGACTTACCCAAGACACCATGGTTTGTTACAGTGTAATTAATATTTATATATGCAAAAATGCTTGTCTCATGTTAGCACTGTCATTGAGATAACGATCTTTATTTAAAAGGAATAAATCTAGAATAAAAAAAAAAAAACTCTTCTCTCCAATAGTAAACCATGATAAAGTTTAGCTTCACCTCCTTTTTTCCTAGTCTGTACACCTATGCCACAATTATGTTGTCACATTTTTACTCTATAAGAAACATTCTGATTTAATCTCTCAGATTAGACCCTGTCTATTGATCATACAAAAGACATTAAGAGAAAACTGGAAAATTAGTGGGTTCCTGGGAGGTACTACCTTGAATTATATTATCAGCTATTTTACAATAAGATAGTTTAAAAAACTCTTGATGTCTCTCAATAAGAACCTACCACCATGTTCCCAAGTAATATCTCAAAGGTGTTTTTCTTTTTTTTCTAAAATCGTTCTCATATTTCCCTCTATTCACTGGAGAGACAAATGATGTTTATCCAGCAATGAGAATCTATGAAAAATCCATTTCTAAATTCACCCAGTTTTTCAGAAACTTGATGAATGGGGTATAGAGCTGCTGACTGACACCAAAATACATTATAAACCATTTTAATGATAAATGATTTAACATTAGGATAATACATATGATAGTTATTTCTGAATTAGAATACCTTACTAGTAAGGATTAAAGAGGTATTAGTTCAGCTAAACCTATTCAACTAGAACATTAATTACTTTTCTGGTCGATTTTGAATTTAGGTTGAAAGCAAAATGTTAGAGCTGGAGAGCCTCTTATTCATTACCCACCCCAGGCTTTTGTTTTTCTAGAAGAAACTATGTTTTGATGGATTTAAGTCACTTGATTGGCCTAGGTCTCCATGTGAGTTACAGACAGAAATGTGGTTAGAACTGGGGTCTCCCGGATCCTAGTTCAGTTTTCTTTCATCCACGCAACATTGGAATATATTTCGTTGGCTACTTCGACCGCCCTTCTCTTGTCTATCTAGGCATGATGGTTTTTAAATGTTCTAAAATGTTTTTTGTCAGGCACTTTGCAAGCAACCCGGGCCTTGATGGTGATTGGCATCCTGCTAGGACTGATAGCAATCTTCGTGGCCACCATGGGCATGAAGTGTATGAAGTGCATGGAAGACGATGAGGTGCAGAAGATGAGGATGGCTGTCATTGGGGGTGTGATATTTCTTATTGCAGGTAAGACAGGACCTGTCCCCCTTTCACCTGTTACTCGGCCCTGGCATGCTTTGAGATCTAGCTTTCGGTTTCCTTAGATTATTTTGGATTTTTTTGCACTTGAGTTGATTTATTTCAGTCCCTTTAATATCTGAATACATGAACCTTAAATCAAATTGGCTTTTAATTTCTCAAACAAAGGAGCCAATGAAAATTTGAGATCTGTGCTCACAATAGGTAGGTTGATTCATTGAGGTTTCAGGTGCCAACTGGTTTGTTGGAACCAGGCTCCCAAGTGAAAAGAGATGATTTCTAGCTAGCAAACACTAAGGAACTATTCTATGTAATTCAGAATTTAGTATCAATTTCTGTGGTACAGACTCACTTGAGAGAAGAGGCGATGGGGCATACTGAGAGAAAACATAAAGAATGTATAAATCACAGATATCCGTGAGGAAAGTATGGGATTGGAATTATTGGAGAAAAATGAGGACAACATCCAGGTGGGCAGAACTGATTCCAGAATAAACATGAGGGCCTCATAGATGTGTGAAGGAACAGGTCGGTCAGCATGGAGGTGGAATGTTGAAATTGTAGGAAGGCAGGTCCAATGAGTTAGGAAGGAAAGTAACAGACAGGCCTTGAAAGAAGAATGAGGTTATATTTACCACAGAAAATATAAATTTGTTCCTTTATTCAAGTCTTGAATGATGAGTCTGATAAGAGTCAGAAGACATGGACAGCTCCATTTTAAAGCCTTAGAATAAGGCTTATGTTAAATAGGACACCCTGTAATAGTCTAGGAGCCCTGGTGGGCAGTGGTTAAACATTCATCTGCTAATCAAAAGGTTGACAGTTCGAATCCACCAGTCGCTCCTTAGAAACCCTACGGGGCAGTTTTATAGGTACTGTAGGGTCACTATGAGTCAGAATCGACTCGACGGCAATAAGATGACATGAAGGATGTAAACTCCGCCTAACTCGGACCTAGTATTTTTGTCTGTCTTACCAGAAGACTTGGACTAAGTCATGTCTGAACCTCCATTCTCTCTAATATTAGAATAAAATTCCAGAACTACTGATGAAATTTAATTCTTATCACTTTCAGGCTTAATGGACTGTATATTTTTGTTCAGTGTTCCATAGTAATTAACAGTCTTTTGTTTTGAATTTCTGTAGGTCTGGCTGTTTTAATTGCCACGGCATGGTACGGCAATAGAATTGTTCAAGACTTCTATAACCCAATGACCCCAGTCAACGCCAGGTAATGCTATTCATGCGTAAAATTGTTTATTCTTTGAGAAAATATCCCTTTTATATCCTGCAAAGTCCAGCTGGTGCTGTGGCTTTCCAGATTTGCTTTCAAGAATTGTATGGCATTTTATGTCAAACTTGCAAACAATTTGACTGGCCTGTGACTCATGTTAAAATGAGTTTGATAATTGCTTTAACACCCTGGATTGATAACAAACTACTTCAAAGTAGAAAGTTCCAAGCACCATACTTTCCAATTCTATGCTGAGCCTTTTTTTTCTTTTTAAAAATATTAATAAAGATGTTATTGTGTTTGAACTTTCCTCCTTAAAGAGTATTCTGATGCTTATAATACCTAATTATGATTATTTACAACTAACACATAGCTTCTGACTAATTGAAAAAATAGTACCACTGTTGTACAGCCCATTGCCATTGAGTTGATTCTGTCTCATAGTGACCCTATAGGACAAAGTAGAACTGTCCCATAGGGTTTCCAAGGAGTGGCTGGTGGATTTGAACTGCTAACCTTTTGGTTACCAGCCAAACACTTAACCACTGAGCCACCAGGGCTCCTGCTGTAGAGGTTAGTGAATAATACTTCATTCCCAAAAGTTTAATTTTACATCTAAGACTACAGTATAATTTTAGTAAGTGGAGATGTTGTTGTTAGGTGCCGTCAAGTTGGTTCCAACTCATAGTAACCCCAGGTACAACAGAGAAAAACACTCCCCGGTCCTGTGCCATCCTCACAATTGTTATTATGCTTGAGCCTATTGTTGCAGCCACTGTATCAATCCATCTCATAGAGGGTCTTCCTCTATTTCACTGACCCTCTACTTTACCAAGCATGATGTCCTTCTCCAGGGACTGATCCCTCCTGATAACATGTCCAAAGTACATGAGAGGAAGTCTTGCCATTCTTATTTCTGATGAGCATTCTGGCTGTACTTCTCCCAAGACAGATTTGTTCTTTTTTCTGGCAGTCCATGGTATATTCAATGTTCTTCATTAACACCGTAATTCAAAGGCATCAATTCTTCCAGCTTCCATATTCATTGTCCAGCTTTCACATGCATATGAGGCAATTGAAAACACATGGCTTGGGTCAGGCACACCTTAGTCCTTAAAGGACATCTTTGCTTTTTAACGCTTAAAAGAGAATGGAGATACTACTTTGAAATGTTGTGTTCCATCACAGCTATAAAATTGACTTTTCAAAGGCCACCTTTCTTAATAGTACAAGTTATGGAAGTTGAAGACCTGATTCTTGACTAACAGGTAACCACACTCTTTGACCAGGAGTGAGGCTCTTTAGCCCATTGTCTTCACATCTTTAAAGACTAATAAGCTACATTTAGAGTCAGAACTTTAAGATGTAATTATGGTGCATTAAGTGCTAGGATGAATGGATGAAAAATCCCAGTGCTTGGAGAGATAAGTTGTGTTGCTTTTTATATAATATAATCACCCACATAGAGAAGAACACATACTGCAATGCTTGTGTTGGAGCCCATCCCAGAAGACATAGAACCTAGAGACAGAAAGTGCTGGAGGTCAATGGGCTAAAATTTTACTGGAGTAATAATACCAGTAATGCGTGTGACGGCACTTTATAAATTGCTAGGCATTGTACAATTATTATTTACATTGTCTCATGGGATCCTGAAAGCAGTCCATTGAGGCAAATGGAATTATCTTGCTATGACAGAAGAACAAACTGAGGTTGAGAAGTGAAGTTACCAGCAGCAACAGCAGCAGGTGAATTTTGCATTGGAATCTAGACCTTCTACTTTAGATCCAGTCCTTCTCCAGCTTCATTGTCCACAGTCATTCCTGGATAACTCACCCCCAAAAGTCTAGGTGAATATATTCACCTAGATCAGATTAATCCAGAACAGTTCATGGACTGCTTCGAAGTCTTTTTGACAAAACAGTAATTTGGGATTTGAGTTTATATGGCTACTTGTGATCAACTATTAAAAACTCTAATAACCACTTTTGCAATTTGTGGCAATTTCTTTTAGACTGTGGTTGCTACTTGGTGGTAGTATAACGTACTAAGCTTTAGACTAGGAACCATGGTCCAAATTCATCTTCCAAAATATCTAAACTTACTTTACAAGTCACATGGAAAAGTCTTTGGAAATACTTGCATTCTTAACCTGGTATTGCACGTCATATTGTATGATCTACTAAAGTGTCAACAATTACAGTGTAAACATTCTTGTGTACGTGTGTTAAAGTACTTTCAAGGGACGATGGGAGTTATTTTCCAAGGAAATAAGTACAAGTATGATATTGATTTCCTTCCTTAATTGTGTTAGAAGAACTGCCAGTAATTCATTGATTAAACAAATGTGTTGCCTTTTCTTTTTAGGTATGAATTTGGTCAGGCTCTCTTCACTGGCTGGGCTGCGGCTTCTCTCTGCCTTCTGGGAGGTGCCCTACTCTGCTGCTCCTGTCCCCAAAAAACAGCCTCTTACCCAACACCACGTCCCTATCCAAAACCTACACCCTCCAGTGGGAAAGACTATGTGTGACACAGAAAAGGAAAGAGTCCTGTTGGAACAAACAGAAAATGGACACTGAAGTCTGATCATCAGCCTTAAGACCTTAGACTTTTGACTGTTGTAGTCTGAACTTTGGTATTACAAAAACAAACAAACAAAAAATAATAATCCAAAAAAAGTATTTTTTTCAATAGCCATTTGCTAAAAATGGTTTAGTTTTATTTTATCTTCTTGCCCCAACACAGGAGGGAAGACATTTCCATTTTTATGACTGGGTCCCACTGAGTAATACTACTCGAATAGGGGCAGAGGATGCTCCTTAAATATATATAGATATGTAAATATACATGTTTTTCTAGAAAAAAAATTCAGGTGGTGAAAAACTTCCTCTCATTATGTTTGCACCAGCATACTTAAAATTCTGCTAAAAAAGAAAAAAATGTATATTTAATTCCATACTGATTAGATAAGAGTTAATTTTTGTATTTTTCTTCTTTTCGTATGTCTACATCTATCATCTAATGGGCCAAATATCATTTACCCTCCCTCATCAGCCTTTAGTGTCATCGACATAAGACCTAATCTCCTCTACCAAGTATGAATTCCTTACATTTTTCATGTGTGCCCTTTTTATCTGTTTTTTTTTGGCCATGAACTTGTAGCATTTGCTTCCTCTTTAGTAGGTCATTCTCCAGGCCCTTATTTGCTTCTTTAGTAGATTGGTCTCTAAGCCCCAAATCTGAGAACACATTTTATAAGGCCTATATTTTAATTCCTAAAGTCAAAAAGAACCTTAGAAATTAGAGCTTTGGGGGCATATCTTTCACATCTTTCTGCATGACCAGAGTGATATATTTCTGTTGACTTTCCCACATGATCCCTGTACTCTGACCTTTAACACTCTTGTTTGCTTTGAAAATATTTGTCCCATTGAGTAGCTTTGCTCTGCTTTCTCCAGTGTTGTAACACACAATTTTACAGGTTAAATTTTTAAGCTACTTATTTGCTGTTGTATATTCCCATAAAGGACCTTGTTCCTCCTCTCTCCTCAACTGTATTGGAGTTTCCAAATATAGTTATTATATAGTTTACCTCTGCTCCCAGAGAGGTGTGGTCTGTTTGTCTGAATGAAGTGGTAGACTTTCTGGAGAGATAACCTGGTGACAAATATTCTGTCTGTAGCTGTAAACAAGTCATTTAATCTTCTACCTCTTTTCTCATCTGTCAGATGGAGATAATAATACTTATTCAGCAGGTAGAGGTGATGTGAGTATTAATTATTTGATATTACTGTCATTCTTTGAGCATGAAACATGCCTAATTAGTGTTTTATTTGCTCAATTGGCTTTTTAAAAGTCAGTGAACATAACCTACACAAATGCCTTCACAGCACTGACCATTTTCCTTTCTAGAAGAGTCCATTTTCTTTACTTCAGCTGTGACTGGCATGTGTTGATCTGTTCAATTTTAATACTTGTTCTGAATTTTATAGTCTGTGGAAAATGCTACTTCACTTGAGCAAGATGAGATAATGGAAAAGGTGTTGGCTTTGGTGTCTAGAGACCTGGATTTGAGTTTTGGTGCTATCAATTACTGTCTGAGTATGGGCAAGACAGCTGGCTGCCCTAAATCTGTTGCTTCATTAATCTTAAAAAAAAAAAAAAAAAAAAGGGCTGCTGATTCCTGCCCTGCCTACCTCAGAGGGCTGTTGTGAGAATCCGGAGAGATGGCATATATTAAATATGGTTTTGTAAGGTGAAAAGTACTAGACTAGGTAAACACTGAGGAATTCAAGTACACAGATTTTAAAGTTACTTTTCAAATGACTGAAGAAAGAGATTTTAGGAAATAAGTTTCTTGCCTTAACCATAATATTAATATGCAGATTGAATGGGTAAAACAAAAACATAAATGTTGGCAATGCCAACATGATTGAATTGTAATTACTTCCAAGGATATTTAAGGTCCTGTCTGCTAAGTGGTGCCCTCAGAGCTGCTGCTATTAGCTGGTTAGGATAGTTAGTTTGGGAGCAGTACTTTATAGTCAAACCACCTTGGGAAAATTATCCAAAGATCTGTATCACATGAGGTCTTGAACCTAGCAAATCACAGTGTGTCTTCTAAAACTGAGAGTCTGTGCTACTAACCCAAAACCAAACCCGTTGCCTTCAAGTCAATCCCGACGCATAGTGAGCCTATAGGAAAGAGTAGAAGTGCCCTGTAGAGTTTCCAAGGAGCACCTGGCGGATTCAAACTGCCAACCCTTTGGTTAGCAGCCATAGCACTTAACCACTATGCCACCAGGGTTTCCCTGTGCTACTAGAAGACATAATTCAGAGTTGTTGCCATGTAATTAGATCCTGATGATGAGTGAATGCTAATGCACATGGGAGCCAGTTGCTAAAATCTACAGCAAAATCTAGAGTCTAGAATGACCAACAGAATTGTTACACCAGAATTTATTAAATTTTGTTATTTTGATACTCTGCTAACCAAGTAGTTGCTGTCAAGTCAATTCCGACTCATGGTGACGCCATGTGTGTCAGAGTAGAACTGCTCCATAGGATTGTCAATGGCTAATGTTTTGGAAGTAGATTACTAAGTCTTTCTTTTGAAGTGCCTCTGGGTAGACTCGACCCACTAACCTTTTGGTTAGCAGCCAAGCACATTAACCGTAGCACCATCCAGGGACCTTTATACTCTGCTACACACCTGGAAACAGACCAAAAGATAATTTTGTTTTTGTTTTTGTTTTTGTAATGGGAATTTGTATAAAGCATTGTTCTTTTTCAATAAATTTTTGTTAATAAAAAAAGTTTTTAGCTTGTTTTCAATCATTTATTTCTAGATTGCCATGCTTGGAATAGGAGGTGGCTTGGGATAGAATCTGACTCACTGTGTGTTCCTGGGAAAGAGCTGTTGTTGCCTCTAGGCCATCTATCAAGTATTTGGAAGGCTCTGCCCATTAGAATGTCCTATTTCTGTCAATCTGAACACCATCAAAGCTTGTGATGCAGGAGGATGCCAGGAGAAGTTACTTTTCTTATCCATGGAAAGGGAACATGACACAATGAATGACAAAGATAAAATAGGACAGAAAGTATTTTGTTACCTGTAAGTCACTGTGCAAACTTAAGGTGGCTACGTTGCCCACAGGGTAGAAAAGAGCAGGTTAGAAATCCATGAGTGTTTTTGCAATACTTATTATCAAAACTAGCTCTTAAAGTGGCCATCTAAGATGCATCAATTGGTCCCAACCCACCTGGAGTAAAGGAGAATGAAGAATACCAAAGACACAAGGAAAGTATTAGCCCAAGAGACAGAAAGGGCCACATAAACCAGAGACTTCATCAGCCTGAGACCAAAAGAACTAGATGGTGGCTGGCTATCACCAGGACCACCCTGACCCTGACAGGGAACACAACAGAGAGTCCCTGATGGAGCAGGAGAAAAGTGGGGTACACAGTTCAAATTCTAGTAAAAAGACCAGACTTAACGGTTTGATTGAGACTGGAGGGACCCTGGAAGACGTGGCCCCTGGGCTCTCTGTTAGCCCAAAACTAAAACCATTCCCGAGGCCAACTCTTCAGACAAAGATTAGACTGGACTATGGGACATAAAATGATATTTGTGAAAAGTGTGCTTCTTAGCTCAAGTAGATAGACGAGACTAAATGGGCAGCTCCTGTCCGGAGGTGAGATGAGAAGGCAGAGAGGATGAGGAGCTGGTTGAATGGACAAAGGAAATCCGGGATGGAAAGGAGGAGTGCGCTGTCACAGTATGGGGAGAGCAAGTAGGGTCACAAAACTGTGTATGTGTAAATTTTTGTATGAGAGACTAACTTGAATTGTAAACTTTCACTTAAAGCACAACAATTAAAAAAAAAAAAAAACACCTAGCTCTTAAGAAAGTAAGAAGATGAAACTCATTCACTTGTTATCTTGAGTTATCAATAATTGATAAATCCTTAAGTGTGACCTCTCCCTGGGCAAAGTTCATATTGAGAGCCCATGACTGTAAATAAAGGACGCAGCTGTAATGATGGAGACTCAGGCATTAGCATGATGGGTGAGGGACAAATATTGCAGTTTGATTTAAAATCCCCTTACATTAAGCAGATGTATCAGAATCCCTACTCTGTTCCTACAGAATTTAGGTTTCTATGGGTAGCGCCCAGGCCCAAGAAGTGTTAAAAACCTAGTGCAGTGGAGTAGATTCTGATTGATAGCGACCCGACAGGACAGAGTAGAACTGCCCCATAGTGTTTCCAAGGAGGGGCTGGTGGATTTGAACTGCCAACCTTTTGGTTAGCAGCCATAGCTCTTAACCACTGCACCACCAGGCTCCTGACAGGCTAAACCAAAAAAAAAAAAAAAAAAAAACCAAACCCGTTGCCGTCGAGTCGATTCTGACTCATAGCTACCTTATAGACTAAAGGAATTATGAAATAAGAAAGACCCTGCCCTGGGTCCAAGCCGTGTGAAAAATGTTAAGTGGAAAGAGAAACGAAACTTAATATCTAGTACAGGTCCTGGAGTTCTGTCACTGATCAGCCACGTGAGCTATGGAAACCTCAACCCGCTGTAAAATGAAAGGCTTGGACCAGCCCAGTTTTCTTATTCTTAGCAGCATATTAGAATCACTTGGGGGAGATTTTGAATCATCTGATTCCGGGGCTCTACCCGAGATCAGGGGAATCGGAATCTCTGAGCGGAGTGCTCCAGGCTTAAGCATTCAAAATGATTCCAGCGCACAGTCTAGGTTGAAAACCAGTGGGCGGTGTCTTCTCTCAGGACCAATCCTATTCTAAAAATTTTCCAGTAGACACATATCCAGGACTTTAATAGACAGATTACATTGCTGCCTACTTACCCTGTATCCAATGTTATGGTTTTATCTTGGGGTTCTGGACTTTTCCCCTTTGGTAGGGTGGGAAGGGAGCTTAAGGAAAGGAAGTCAGCAGACGATTTTCTCGTTATTTCCTTGGTAAATAACCCCTTTCTTGTCATTCTCTTTTATTTTTAAATTACCCCCAACAATAGTCATTGATACAAAACAAATTCTGTTTTAAAGAACAGCCTTCTATTTAGCAAGGAATATTAGCTCAAGAGGGTAAGTGCTTCTAAAGTGAAGCCTTGGTTGTATTTCTTTGTTATGTGAAATTCTGGAGAGAGTTCTTAGCTAAACCTTAACCTTGCTTCATTTGCTTTTAAATGAAAAATATTTCAGTGATTTTATGTCATTAAATATTTGTTTGCATTGATTTCCCTGCCACCACCAAAAAGAGAGTGTGTGCAAACACACACCCACACATAAACACACCTATTAGGAAAAGCTGAAGTTTTTGAAAACTCGACAAGTATTTTTTAACTAAATTGACCTGGACCAGGGATGTTGTTTTCTCAAAGGAGCCTTTTTTGTTTTTAATCATTTTTGTCAGTTTCCCGTTTGCATGAATGCTGGGCTTTTCCTCAAGTACCTATCACTGCTGCTTGACAGTAGAGAAAATCCAACAGCTTGTAAGTGATCTGAGACAAACTGACATCGGGGTCAAGAGTACGGGGTAGCAGAGAATATTATCTGGGAGATGCGAGTGGATTACAAGCTTTCTAAGTAAGCTCAAAAACAGCAAAGACAGAAAACTTTCTTTTTTTGATGCCTATTTTTGACTGCAATATTTCTTTTTCCTCATTATAAAATTAAAACTTATTACTTAAGAAAGAAAAATAGAAAGTAGAAATAATAAAGAAATATGAGTCTTACTACCCAAAAGCAAAAACTTTTAGTAATTTGATATGCTCTTCTCCAGTCTTTTTTTCTTTCCCAGAGAAAGAGTCTGACGTTTGTTTTTTGTTTGTTTGTTTTGTCTTTTGGTTTTTCTTTCTTCTTTTTTTAAGAGAGTATCGTATTGTATAAATACTTTTTATTTCTGTTTTGATCTCCATCTACGTATACAATAATTAATGTACTATATTACTCCACAGGCTAGACAACAGTTTTTCATTCATTCTGATAATAGCTTTAAGAATCTAAGGCTTTTCCCTGAGGTCACGTTTTAACAAAATAACAGATTGGCACACAAAATAAAAGATATTACCCGTGAGTACGGGGCTTCGTTTAAAAAAACATCTATATGAGACCCAAAAGTCAACAAGTACTCCAAAGCAAACATAAGAACACAAGGGGGAGGGAGGTGCAGGGAAACTAGAGTACTGGAAACAGAACAACCAGAATGCAATTAATGAGAAAGTTGACACATTGTGAAATATATAACTAACGTTGCTGAACAACTTGTGTAGATACTGTCAAATGTGAACCTAATTTGCCGTGTAAACTTTCACCTAAAACACAATAAAATATTATATAAAAAATAATACATAAAAAGGAATCTAAGACTGGTCAAGTATTTTCTGCGATCATGTGAACTGTGCCCCTGGAATTGTGCAGGAAAGCAGCCATGAATAAAACAGACAAAAATCCACTAACCCATTAATGGTAATCCACTAACTACCTTTCTAGATGGAGACTACAGACAATAAACAAAATAAATGTGCTAAATATATAGTATATTAAATGGAGATAAACCCTATAGATAAAATCTAAAGCAGAGAGGGAATATTGGAAGGGTTGGGGAAAGGGAGGGTAACAGTTTAAAGTAATGTGGTTATGGAA